GCGAGATTTCCCTCAACGGCGTTCGATTCCTCGCGTTTCGCCCGATAATCCTGTCTCGCCGCGCGTTCGCCGTTACGTTAGGGTGACCAAACCAGCGCAAATGAAAATCGGAACAGAGAATGAGAAGAATAAAACAGAAGGAAAAAGAGGGGAACACATCCAACCACAAGAGAAGAAGATAGAATTGATTCTGTATATGTTCTCTATATCAGCTTAATTGAATTTCGATTTTTCCCATTGCGCGTTTCCCATTCTGGTGCTGCGCAAGTAATGCGTTTCTGTTTCGAAAGCTTTTCAACAGAGACACCACTGTGTCTCGATATAAAATTCACTAAAAATCCTGCAGCCGAAGTAGCACGATAAAAAATTATTGTATAAAACTACTTTATGTTGTACGCTGCTTATATTTTCCGCTAAAACCGCTGCACGCGATACAATATTCATTGGAAAGAGTTCGCGTTTGAAGCGTCTAGTAGGTTGGAAAATATTCGTCGGACTCGTGTAAAATCAAAAATTCGAACGGGTGGAAAGGAATGGGTCTTTTTAAAAATTGAAGCTTGCGTAGCGCATGTTTCTACGGATTACCACGCGATCGTTGAATTCGTTTCGAGAGGAGGGGAAACGGGAATGGGTGACACGACTCGCTGGAAGGGTCGAATAATAATCGGGGCATTCTGAAAGGAATTAAAACGGTGGATATCTGACGTGGACGCGCGTCGATTCGTTTAGTCTCGCGTCAAACGAGCTTGTCATACGTATGAATATGGCGGTGCAGACACGGTCGATCGCTCTCGACCGGCAGATTACGAATAGATACGGCTTGCTGCGTCAAGGATTACGTCTGCCGGATGGCTGGGCGATACGAGGGAACGAGAAAAAAGGAATTAGTTCGAAGCGGTGTACGCGGACGATGTACGGGTCGCGGGGAGCGACATAATTCTCGAGGATGCGATCGATTCACGCGCAAAGCCGATTCCGATTGAATCTTGCGCCAGTGATTTAAACGGAACGGAAAACTTATCTTCTTACGTGCTTGTTAACTTTTCGAATTAAACGATTACGTATTGTAATCCGTTTCCCCAAGATTTTCTGCAGTGAAACTAATCGGCTACGACTGATGAATTCGTTCGCGAGTCTTTGATTTCTTATGCTCCCGATAAAGAGTTTTAGAGAATCTTTAATGCTCTTAATACTGCGGGATATTTTATATTGATCTTCATCGTTGCTATATTGCTTGAGAACGGCTCGTAAAGAGAATGTTCGATGAACCGATTGTAAGAGAAAATTGGTCCTTTGCAACCGATAACTTGTCAAACTTCTAAAGATTCTATGAAAACAGGAAACGGTATGTTGATCTCTTGTTGTTTAAGTAATTCAATTTTTCATTTGCAATTTTTGAATTTGAATATCAAAGATCGAAGTCGTTACAGTGATACTCTATTGTATAGTAATCATGCGTTCAATTTCTTCGCGTCATGGAAGTTTCATTTCTGAAAATATTCGGAGGGAAGCGCGTCTTAGAAAATTTCCATTCTACGTTCGACTGTTCTCCGCTTTTTTCCTATTTTCCACGCGTTTTCCACGGTTAAATGTCTATCGAAAAGTCGTCGGGCCCGGGAACTCAGTTTTTGTTCCCAAGATCCCGCAAGGGAACGCTTCCGGGCACGAAACGAAAAAAGGTTCTCCGCGGAGCACGAAAATCGGGAGCCTCCGAAAAAAGAAAAGCGCGCGTTCGAAAAATGAATGGCCGCAATATAAAATGCAAATGTGACTCTCGCCGAACCGCGGCAGCTTCTTTCGTGA